ACGGGAACGCAGCGGCGAGGGCGGAGGCGACGGCGCGCCGCGAGGCGGAGAGGGCGGAGGCGCCGTCGCGCGACGGAGGGACGTGCCCGTGGTCGTCTCCGCCGAGCAGGATCGCGCTGGGCGCCGGCTCTGCCTCGGCCATCCGCGCGACGGCCAACCGCAGGAGGCCGTCAGGTGCAGGGTCGCAATTGAAGTGGCCAAAGCTGCCCGGGCGTCGCTCGGCGCTCGGCGCGGCGGATCGGCACATGTCGCGCACGTCCGCCCGCGCGGAGTGCCACAGGTTGAGGTGCACGTCGGTGAGGTGCCAGAACCGCAACGGCGGCGGAGCCGAGCCGTGGCTGCTGGCGGGAGCGTGGCCGCGGCCGCTGTCGCTGCTCGCAGCCGGCGGCTCGACGCTGGAGACAGGCAGGCCGAGGCTACTAAAGCCGGCGATGAGGCAGCACGCCCCGATTAGCCACGCCGCTCGGCAGGACATATTCTAGCGGGGCTGACGTGGCAAAAAACAAATCTCTCGCCGGAAATGTTCTGAGAGCTCGAGTTCTCGAGGTTCTCGAGGTGGATATCCTTTGGCCGCGTTGGGTAGCGAGGATTGGTGTGACGCGATCCACGCAGGCGTGGTTTCTGACGGCCGACCGTCAGTGCACGGAGTTGCCCCTTCTCCGACTGCCCCGGCTAGTTCCGCCGCCAGCGCCGGCATCTCGTTGGTGACGTGATAGCGAGCACCTTCAGGACCAGAAGGCCAAAAGAATTTTACACGATGATCCGTTTCGTTCAAGTGTGTCCGAGCGCCTCTTTCGCTCTGCAGGTCTGCAGGCACCGATGGTCCCCCGGGGGGCTCACTTGAAAATCGGAGAGAGAGAGAGATTTTTAGCAATACCAAACAACTCTAACACTCACACGTAATTTGGGGCCTGGAGCCCTGTTCACGCGCGCGCGAGACGTGCAGACAGGGTTGCCAGGTGAGAGCGAATGGCGCGGTTCACGCCTCGCACAACAGAGAGAGAGATGCGCTCTGCATGGTGGGACATAAAAGAGAGCGAGTACTTGGGCGAGTAGGCCGTGCGGTCAACGCTGCCGCGCGCGACTTTGCGCGCGAGGCGGCGCAGCTTGAGAACGGCGGTGGGCGAGAAGCCGCCGCCGAACGTCTCGTGGAGCAGCAGGTTGAAGTTGTTGCGCTTGACAAAGATCGCGTCGTGGTAGAAACCGCGATGCGCCTTGACGTAGCCGTGGCCGGTCTTGTGGTCGAAGGGTTGGCCGGGCTGCCCGCGCGCCTTGCAGCCCATGTTTAGGCGGCGGGCCTTTTCTTCGGTGTTGCCGAAGGCGTAGGAGTGGCCAACGGAGGCGGGCGTGCCGCCACTCGAGGCGTTGCCAACGCCCGGCGAGGAGCCAAAATCGGTGAAGTTTACAACAAAAGGCGGTCGCACGACACGATTCACGCCGAGGCGCGGGCGACGGCTTCCTCAGAAGCCGTCGCCCGCACCACAGGAGCAGTCACACCACTCCCACCCCGGCGCCCACCCACTCCCCACCCCGACATCCCCACCCCACCCCACAACCCCGCCCCACCCCGACCCGAGCAACCCCGCCCCACCCCGACCCGACCCGATCCACCCCGCCCCACCCCGCCCCGCCCCCCCCACCGGACAACCCCGTGAGCTGCCCTCGGCTCCGCCCCCCGCCCAACCCTCCCCCGTGCATGCGCCTGCCACCCGCGCCGCCTCCCCCACGCGCGCCCACGACGCCACAGCCGATCGCCCGCCGCCCCGCCCCGGCGGGGCCGGGGGCGAGAGGCACTGCAGGCGGCGCAGCGGGCGGCGTGCGAGGCGGCACGGCGGGCGGGCGAATGGGCGAGCGGCTGGCTGGCGGTGGGTGGAGGGAGGGCGGGACACTAGGCGCGGCGGGCGGGCGCGGCAGGCGGCGGGCGCGGCGGCACGGCGGGCGGGCGAGTGGGCGGAGCATCCGGTCAAGCCGGACACACGTCCACGTACGAGCCGCTGTCTTGGTCGATCATGTAGCAGTCGGCCTGCTCCTCCAGCTCCTTAATGAGCTTGCCGGTGCACCCGGCCTCATCAAAGTGCAGCGACACGTGCGTCATGTTGCGGCACTCCGCCTTTGTCGAGACGCCGCCATCCGCCCACGAGATTTCCATGCAGTTGGCGTGCTTGCCGTCGTCGTTTGTGCAGTCGCCAGAGCACGCGCCGCGGGCGGCTCCGCAGCCCTCACAGGTTTCGTACATCGGGACGCCTTCGGCGGAGCAGTACTTGCGCTCGTACCTTATGTTGGCCGAGCCGGCGGGGATGTTGGCCGAGCCGGGCTCGACTCCGCAGTGCACGGCTGCCTCGTCCCCGCAATGGTGGCACCCCGCAGGGACCAACGCGTCGACTGATGCATACGCACGCATGGCTGCACAGCCGCCGGCGGCGTCAAATTCTGTGACGCACTTGCCGCAGCTGTCGGCGGTTTGTGCAAAGGAGGTCGTGGCGGTAAGAATGGCCAGCATATCTGTGTAATGTCCGCCACAAACAGGCGCCGACGGAATCTGAATCACCCTGTGAACGTGTCATGAAAAGCGGACCCTTTTGCGTGCATACGTGGCTGGCAGGCTGACCCGTGTGCGGGGTAACCCGCGCACGGGGAAGCTTCACGGGTTCGAGTCGTCAAACATTAAGCAGCGGAGGTGTGCCGAGGGGGACCGGGAGGCGGTAAGTCCTCTCTCTCGTCGCCCGCTGCTTGCAGCACCATGGCGATGGCTCTAAGAGGTTCCTCTTTTCCGCGCGCCCCCCGCAAGGCGCGCAATACACACAATGAGATTGTGCGTGTGTGTGTGGACGCGAGACTAGCGCCGTTCATGGAGGCAACCGATGCGAGTCGACTGGTGTGTGTCGTCGTGGTTTCGTATCAAGGATACTCACTCACCGTGAGATTGTGCTTGAGACAGCTGCGCTTTCTTTCGGAGGCGGGCGATGGGTGACGGTTGTAGTCTCAAAAACCGGCTGCGTCCACAGGGCGTTCCACTCGGTGGGCACCTCTCTTACGCCGTCGGGCTTCGGTTTTCTGTACTCCATGCGCGGCGCCGGCGCCAAGATCTTGAGCGCGACAGAGCGCCGGCGATGGTCTGGCTGGGCCAACTGAGCCACCAGCAGCTGCTGCGCATCTTTTACTGGGGCTGCACGCCGCCGCTGCGGTATAATATGCTGCGCTCGACGGTCGCACATTCGCATGCGGTGCCATCGCCTCCGGTCTCCGGAACAAAACTACGCGACGTTGACGTGCGCTGCGGATGGCGCCAGAGTGATAAGTGGCATGTTCGACGCCCTTGCTTTCTTCTTTCATGAACATCGAGGTGGCCTGGAAGTGTGTATCCCGTGTTTTGGTGCGTTCGCACACGACAGTAGTACCCACGTACCCAGTTTCGGGAGTGGAGGTCGCCGCCCGGCAGGCTGCCGCCGTGCGCAACGGAAGCGAGCGATGCTCGCGCTGCTCGGCGCGCGCAGGAGCGGCGGACAGCGCGCGGGTGGCGGCATAGCGTGGGCGGAGAGTGGCAGGCAGTGGGCGGCATTTCTCTCGATGCAAAAGTTGGGTCAGCAGATCCGGCGTGCAGCTTCGATCTCGGACCCCCTGAACTGCCCCTGAACGCACGCGCTGCTGCTCCGCTCTCTTCTCTCTCCGCATCGCACTCGCATGCACTAGGCGCCTCAGCGCCTCACCGCGTGCGGCAGCACGTGTGTGCGCCAGAGGTCCACCAGCCCCGGCGCCGCCCCCTCGCCCTCAAAGCGCTCCTCGTCCCACGCGATCAGGTAGCCCCGCCGCATCACCTCGACCGCCCGCTTGCGAGCCGCCTCCGGGAAGAGCTCGTGCGACTGCGGCGACCGCTCCGCCGCCTTGAGGATGAGCCTTCCCACCGCCACCGCCTCGGCCGCTGGCTGCAGGTTACGGGCAAGTTGTGGCAACAAAAAGTCCCCGAGAACACTGGCACGCACTAGTTGGGGTGAAGACGATCGAACGTTGTTCCGACACGACGACGACGCCTTGCTCGTAACAGCCACCGGACAACTGTTAGTCTAATGGGAGAGGATGACCTGTCCTGTGGTTAGTCCGGTGTCTGTGTGACCCTTGCCCAGCCCCCTGCTAGCCGCGAGACTGCCCTGCTAGAGCCGCGACAGACAGAGCCGCGAGAGACGGAGCCGCGACAGTAGCCACGCAGCCAAGACGCTGGCGAGATACAGGGGGGGGACACATGCGGGTAGACACGGCGCTAGCCTTCTCGTGCATCCCTGGACCCAGCCTCTGGGCCTCACTCAAAGCGCCCGCCTTCTCGCCGAGATACAGCCGAGATACAGCCCGAGATCGCCGAGATGCACCCGCCCCAAGGCGCCCGCCTGTTCGCGGCAGTGCATCGTGCAGGACGACGTGCAGTTCTTGCGCAAGGAGGTGGCCAGGCTGCACCTCTCGCTGCCAAGCGGCTGCTGCCCAAACCTGGTCGCCTTCGCGCTCGCGATGCCGGTGGCGTAGTCCGCCCGGCCGCTGCAGGGGGCGGGCAGGGGTGGAGAGGCGAGGCCGAGAGGCGAGGCGCGGTGCCGCGGCGGCGGCGAGCGAGCGGTGTCGAGTCAAAATCAAGGTTTTGTAACGCGAGCTACGGTGAAAAACGCGTGCCTGACCGGGCTATCCCACCCATGCGATCGCGCTGCTCGGACGGGGCGGCGCGGTGAACGTTGCGCTGATGCGAGCGGCGAACTTGGCGGGGCATACCAACTAAAGTGATGCTCGGTATGATGAGCCTCTGCTTGCTAGATAGAGGAACGGTTCGTGCGCCCGCCCGGGTTCGTTCGTCCTCCTCCAAGCAAGTGCTCGTTCGTGCGCATGCATGCGGTCGGTGGACTCGTCCCCCCCGCGCCGGCGGGGACGATTCAGATTCAGAGGTAGGCCAGCGATTCCGTGTGCGAGTCTCGCTCGGCGAACCCGCTTATAGCAAAGAAGGGGTAGGGCGTGGGCCTGTGGGTTTAGGTTAGGGCGCACCCCACCCCCCTCAACGCAAACACTGCCCAAGAATCTGAATCAAAAAAGAAGAAAGTGCGGAGTGGCGTGAGGTATGCGTGTGTGTAAAAGAAAGAAAGAAAACAGACAACCCAAGGGAGGGATAGGAGGACGGCACGCCGCGTGTGTGACTGCGACAAGGGACCCTTGGGTTTGTATTATTAACGACGAAGGCGCTCTCAAAAAAGAAGAAACAAACTCCGTGAAGAGATCGGCTTTCCACCGCCGGCATGCCAATGCACGTGATTCAGAACGTCCTTGTGCTTGCCACCATCGCCACGTTGCGCTCGACGGCTCGCTGGACGCTTTCCTCCTGTGGTGGATCCGCCAGCTTCAGCCTCAGGCACCAGCATCACCCTCAGGCGCACGTGAGCAAGATGGGCAGTATAGGTGCCGTGCCGCTCTGGGACGCACTTGAGGCTCAGGGCGGGTGCACAACGCCTCTGACCGGCACCTTCTCAGAACAGCATCCAGCCCGCGTCTCGTCACCATGGTGTGTGAACAATGCCAGTTGCTGCTCGGCCCGGCGCATGGAGGGCGGCAGGCATGGCGTTTGGAGAACGGCACAGCAATGGCAGCAAGGGAATCATTGCGCGCCCTCGTGGCTGCAGCCAGAGGAGATCATGGCCTGTCTGAAGGGACGGGTGCTGGCTTTTGAGGGCGACTCAGTCACGCGGCAGCTCATAAATCGCCTCATCTGGTGGTTGCGCGGTCTACCGGCCATCTGGGAGCACCATTACTCCGTCAATGCGATCTACGAGTTTGACAGGCACCGCGATATGTTTAGGCTCCTGAAAGCGGACGGCAAACCTACTCCAGTGGGCAAGCCTCCTTTCGGCCGGCATCCCGACGAGAATGGCACCTTTCGCGGCACGTTCCCTGATCAGGACGCCCGGCTTGCCAGTCACGTGGACTCGTGGCTCACGCGCAGTACTTCTAGGGCGGGCGCACTGCTCACCTTCCGCTGGGGTGGCATCTATGGCGATGGAGCCGACGCGCAGCTCCGCGCCGGCAAGAAGGAGTGGTCGCAGCGAGACACACCAAGGCTGTCGGGCAACGCATCCGTGTACGGCAAACTCGCTCGTGACAATAATCTGCTTGCCGGCATCATCATTGGACGCCACGGGCACTTCAAGTTTGAGGCACCCGCACCAAGCGGTGAGTGGACTCATGAGTACGACACTCTTGACCTCGACACGATGAACGCCAATGGTGGTGCAAGCCACTACTATGCACGCAACTTACTCTATGTGGCCGAAAGGAAGGACCCGCGGATGGGCAACATCCATTCTCTGCTCTCGCGCACGCGATGGAACCAGACGTGGGACATGCCAGAGGCAGAGGAGATGTATTCGCTGCCATACTTGGATATGCACTTTCAGTGTGCCTTCATGGAAACATGGCCACAGGCGGCAGCGAGCTGGAAGATGCCGATCACGGCAGATTGCCGCGACCTGCTCGGATTGAACGCAATCCAGGCTATCCTCGGGCGTGTCTGCCACTCGAAGCCACGAGCCGCGTCGGCCCGTAGTAAACCGCGGTAGCAGCTCAAACGCGGTAGCAGCTCAAAAACACCTACTAGTAATCCCCCCTTTGTTATCCTTACTGTCCTGACAAACTCTCTCTCTTCTCTCTCTCTGTCCTGTAGTCTCCGCGATGCATGTTGTTCTTGTTGAAAGTGGTTAGACGCGATACGAACTCGGCCGTGCATGTACACAGTGCGAAAGGAGGCGGCAGATGACTCGGAAAAGAGGAAGATATCATGTCGCGGCCAATAATGGTGGTAACACACAGCAGTGAACGGCGGCTGGAGAAAACCCCGAAAGTGTGCTCGATCACCGCCGCGTCACCAGGGCCGCTCGGGCTCGCGGTGCTTCTCTGCTCGGCGGTCACCGCCGCGCTCGCCATGCCGCTCGGGCGCGCGGTGCTTCTCCGCTACGACTCGATTCTGAACGCGAGCAGCGGCGACGAAGCGTGGGCCACGCACGCCCCGTATTTGGACAAGAGGAGGCATCAATGCCACGCGAAGGTGATGGCTCCCCGTGGTGAGCCATCTCTGCGAGTCCTCGATCACGAACTTGTGCAGCTTCGAGACGCCGTCTATGTAGATGGGAGATTCCACGTGCGGGCCGACAAACACTCTATGGCCGCACTCGCAACGATCATGGCACGCCAGCAAGGCCGCGATGCGCTCGACGACATCTCAAACACGGACGTTTGCAAGCAGCGGTCGCATGTCGAGGCATGCGTGAGCGCTGCCGCCCGAGAGGTGATCACAGACACAGATGGCAGAAAGGGTTGGAAGATGGCTGCATCCGGCTGCCCAGCCCCACATCGCTGCCCGCCCATGTTCAGCGTGCACAACAGCACCCTCTTCGTCGTGTCGGCTATGTCGATGCAACAGCCACAGCAAGGTGGCTCACGCCCAATCTCGAGAATTGAGCTACTTCAGGACAGGGCGTTTGC